ATATATATATATATATATATATATAATATTTTAGAATTCAAAGTCAACTGTGAAAAATTTTGCTTGATAAATCTTTCCTGGTGTGTTACAGCCTGCATTGCCCTACACTTCTTTATATTTTAGCAATTGGTTTTGCCAAAAAAGCGATAGTTATCCCTTAAATCTGTTCTTTTATCTAAGTTGATTTCGCTTGTACATTTGGCACTGGTGGTGAGAATTAATAAGCCGAATTGGCCTGGTCACGCAAAAAGAGGCTTTGAATAATCCAATGTTAGTTCAGCGTTATAATTTACATTCTTACCTTCAACCAAAATCCATAATTTGTGTAACGGATGTGTCACTAACTCCCTTTATTTGCGTTTCCTGGTGTTTGGCAAACCGAAACCAGAATGCCTTTTGCTAAAAATGCTTCAAAATGACTCAATTATCAAGCTCTCAAAAGGACTAAACATAATTGGACCATTAAAAGCCGTTTTTTGTAAAAAAAAAACAGTGCAACCCTCAGGAGCAAAGAGTATAACAGAAGACAAATTTCATTGGTTTGCCTCAAATTCTAAAGGCGAGTAGCAGCTGTGGGTGGTAGGCCAACAACCAATCAGAAAATGTGTCAATAAATTTGCTAACAAAGGTAAGAAATAAAATGCATACTTTACCGAAAACGTTGTAATCCAAGAATTATTCCGCCGTTTAGGCGTCCGTTTACGGCTAGAAATTAAGCTCATTCGAATAATTAGTTAATCATAATTTAGTGAGATGTCACGTGTTACAAGGATTTATGTTGTTGTAAATTTTTATGAAGGACTGAGGTGGCTCTGGAAGATGGAGAATCCGTCCTTCTAACCAATCAAATTTTCGAAGCTGTCGGACCGTCGATTGAGTTCGCCCCAATGGGTATTCACATGCCACGCGAATGCTGGATAGTGATCAATAATACCTCAGGTGTTCCAGCCTTGTGTACCCTCAAATTGGATAACTTTGAAAGCCAGGAGAGAATATGCTTTGATGAAATTGTTGAAAATGATTGGCAAGTTCAAAATCGAAAAGTCCAAGGTGGGTTGCATCCATTTATGTTGCTCTTTTGATTTCAAACGCACTTAACTGTTTGCCGTTATCCTAGATTTCTGCAGAAGACTGTTGAGTACAAAAAAATGCTTTGCGATTTCAATTGATTCGATTAGGGTTATCGGAAGCCTCTCAAACGCATTTGATACCAAAACATCTGCAATTGATGTACCGCCGTACAAGAGCGTCGCTATCCGTTTGGTTGGGTGTGCGGACATTTTTGGTGAATTTCAGGACACATTGACAATCTCCCTTGAGCCTTCAAGAGTCTGTAGCTTGGGTGCCCAACCGCTCATTGCTCGACTCCCAATTGTAGCTCGTGCCTGTGGAAGTCCGGTCGATTTTTTAACAGCTTCGAAGTCCGTCAACAAACCGATATTCAATGAATGCTATAAGACCAAAGTAACTGATAGTAATTCGTACGGGCTTCTGTTATCGTCGATTCCAGCTCGTGAAACAACTGCCAACTTGGGCATCACGTCGTGCATTTCGCCAAACGTGAGACGAGAAGTGAAGTTACGAAATAACTCTGCTTTTAGTAGGTGTTTATTTAGACTGTCAATGCTACTCAATTTGGTTATAACATAAGCCTTTTTCAATGTTTTTAATGTGTACAGGAAAGAAATAATTCAGTTTGCACCGAAATGATTAGCGTGCCAGATTGGTGACCCCTGGTGAGGTAGTCATGGTAACACAAACACGTGGTAGTCGTGCTAACAACGGTGACCTTTATGTGATTGTCTAGCCAAGTCACGGAAATTCTAGAGTCTAGATACCTTTGTTGATCAAAAGAAGGTGGTAGGGTGTGCATGCGGAGCATTTTGCCTAAAGTGTGGGTCGATTATGCTTTTGGCTCCAAAACAATGCAACAAGTGAAGTAAAGAAACACGGCACGCGCACACACAACAATATTGAAGAAACCATTTGCATCATCTGAGCAGTTCACTTCTTGCAAACACTATGTTCTGCACTGTATTACTGCTTTACACTAACTTTGATCAGTTTTGTTCCCAAATGCAACGATTTTATTGCCTAGAGTTCTTTTAGACCTCCCCTCAGTGGTCTAACATTTTTGCGTGACATGATTTTAAGAGAAACAAACGACTTTCGAATGGTTTTCTGTCAACTGTAGCACTTCAAACTTCACAAACGTAACAGAGAGGTTTTTGGTTTTTGTTTTAATTATTCAGTTCTGGCTTGATTTTATAAACCTCAGAGGTCGCATACTTAACTCCGATTGTTTGAGAAAGACAACAGTTAGCACACTTGTGTTAGAAGCTGAGAAGCAGTTGATTAACCAAAATGCTGTGTTGAAATTGACCAAATATACGGGCTTTTCTTGCTATGCCGACATCAGGGTAAATCCATCTTAAATAAAAACCGACAGAATAGTGTACAAAATTCAAGCTAACAAAGATGAGAACTGACTATGCAAACTTGATTTCGATCCACATAATTGAGTAACATAAGTCAGTCTTCTTCTTGTTTAAGTGATATGGCCATCTTCGATTCAGGCTTGATTATCTTTACTAACCAAATTTAGTGAAAGACCGTCGTAGTTACTGGTTTTTTTCAGTTGTAACTCTGAATATCTCACTCATTCATTGTGCTTTAGGCTAAAAACAACTACTAACTGTGTCATTCCGAATAAGAATTCTGCAGTTTGCTAGGAACGCGCAGTTATCTTGCCAAAGTTGGGTTCCACAGACCATAGTGAAATTGGAATTTTCTTCCAGCTTGAATATCCTTCACCACGAAAACACCTTAAAACTAGTTGTAATATCTGGCCACAGATACAATGTAGAATTTCGCGGGCAACCACCTGCAACCATGTATGACCAGTAAAGCAGAATAGTGTGTTGTGGGCCCCAGCATGTAGTCTTGCACCACACTGGGGCCACCGCTTCTATCTCTGGCCCGATTACGCTTCCCTGATATTTGCGATGAAGAAAAAGACCGGAGAGAACGTTGGCACAACCGTGTACTTCAGAACTCAACCACATTGGTGTCGCGTGTGTGTCGTTTGTACCTGTGTTTATATCTCAGATTTGTGAGTCATGCATGCGCTAACATCGATACCTAGGTGTGAAAACAATCTAAGGTAAATAGTCATGTGAATGAGGAGGGAGCTGGGGATCCGCGCTGCTACGAAAAGGGGGACCCTGTGTCGGAGGGTGGAGTGACCGGGTTAGCGAGTGTGAATCAACGCGATCCACAACAAGTGGAAGAGTTGATACGGGAGGAATAATGTGTCTTGTGGTATGAGTGCTTATGTTAAAAACAGCTACAACAGGGGAGAATAACGTAAGGGGCTATTCTCTTCAATGTCAGAAAGGTGATCATCATTTGCTCCGATTCTTGTGGACATTAACTTTCCACAGAGAGCTCTTATATCCGTGAATAGTCTCAATGCCATCTTGATGCTTTGCCATTTTGGCACATTTAGCCATCAGAGTGGATTGGCACCTCTACCGATATTCTCTGAGCAATAATGAAAATCATCTCCTCGATCTCTGTGCCATTTTGAATGGATGCTACCATTCGGTTGAGGGTGAGGAACAAAAGAAAGACAAATCTGGTAAGGAAATGTCGCTGTTCACGAGGATTTTTAACTAAATACCCCAACATTTTGTGTTCCGAAACAGCAAAAGGAAAATAATTCGCATGAAATTATGCTAATATAGCCACCTGTCAAACTACTTGCTACTTAATGCGTCAATTGACGAGAAAGAATTCTAATCTATTTCGTTAGTATTTCAGTTTGACTGTGTAGAAAACCATATTTACCGAAATAATAATGATAAAAATGACAGCTAATCGTCAATTTGAAGGATACTGCAACAATTTCATTCATTTTATTTTAAAAAATTCAAATTGAAAACATCCAAATCGATTGCAAACTGTTTTCATGTAGATGACACACCACACCTCTCGCTGCTGCTTCGACCACACGAAGGTCGTGCAGTTTCAAGGTCAAGTTCATCGGACAAACGATTTATCGAACCCACGGCTGATGATGATGATGGAACTATAAGATTGTGGTCGCATCAGACGATTATTCCGCCTCACAACGTGGCCTCAGTCTTTGTTGACCTGAATAGAGTCAGCGCTAGCTCGCAGCTTGGAGCAAAAATCCGGGCCTATGCTCTTGGCTACATCTCTGTTGATGGCGCGGGAAGGCATGTAAGCTTACCAGAACCTCTTCTCTGTCCACAGCTTCGACTCAACCTGAAAGCAAGCGTTCAACAGCCCATGTGAGTTTGGGCGTCTTGAATATCCAGACTCGGATGCAGAAAGGGCGTAAAACCTTGGTTTTTCACCTCTTCAACGGTAGTGGGAAACATGATCGAAGAATATGCAAACTAAAATCATTACAAGATAGACATCAGTAGGGCATAATCGAATTGCATTAATAAAACAATATTTTCGCTCTATTTTAGGCTGGAGCTTGAATACGGTGATGAATTGAGCAAACATGTGGTCCTGGCACCCGGTATTGGTGTTAATGCTCCTGAGCCAATGAGATTCACGATTGGAGCCGACAACTTCATCCTATCAGCCTCTGAAATTCGTTCTACTTGTAATGCTTCAAATCATGAATGCTTAACAGCTAAACATTCGGACGATGAACAGCTCCACATTGTTGAATACAGCAGAGTCCCAAAGGCCAATGTGTGCCTAGCTGATCGAGTCTGGTTTCTACGAAGACTTCGTCTTCGAAACAGAAGCCCTTACGGGCTAGGCGTGCAGTTGGAAGTGACTGAGGGCGATTTTTTTTTTCGTGACGACTACCCACTGAAAGCAGGGCACCGCAATCGGCTCGTCAAGTTTTTGGACCCCTCGATTGTCAAAATTGAAATGGTTTCTAGGAAACGACTAATCGTGAAATCCGAATCCATTGAATCGGTGAGAATTTGGAAAATGCACGTAAAACTGTCATAAGTCATTTGGTAGAACGTTTTTTTAAAAAAAAACGATTTTTAGGAAAAACCGCTAATAACGATCGAAGCTTGGTCTTCCAATCAGTGTACTTATATTTTAAATTCAAGCGCAATTACAATGCAGCACACGTGGGTCAAAAATTATAGAGCACAACGACTACACCGTATGCAACGTCAAAAGGTCAAAATGTCACTGATAATTTGACTGCAAGCAAACTGCATCTTAAGGTTTTTGGTAAAGAGAGAAATTTGTGGCAATCGCACGCGCACACACAAAACTCGTATTTCAGCGTCGTCTGTGTAACTTGTCGTAAAAGCCATTAAATCTTACGTTACATATAGCGCCACGGAGAGTTACGCACAAATTTTGGCGTCATGACAGCCGAATCAATCAACATGAGTGAGGTTGGGGTCTATTTTAAATTTCATCAGTGTGACTCTAGTTCAACCTTTGACACGCCTTCATTAGGTATATCTTTGTGCTTGCCAACTACGCTATGTCATTTCGCACTTGATGTAATATTGACATTTGTGGGTCATTTTATAACCATGCGAATAAATGCTACTGACTGGTCGAAGTCGACTGGAAAGCGTAATTACACAATATATCCTCAACTACGCACTGAAAGCAGCTTTTAAATCCTTAAATCTAACACATCGTTCTGTTCGAAATCAAATTCCAGCCGTAAAAGCGGCTTGACGTTGTCCTGATAAGATTTCGTGCACGAATCGTACCGTCCTACCCGTGTATCGACTGTGTTCACGCGTACCATCAGCTGTAGCTGTCCAATAAGAAAACGCCGTGTTCTAATCCAGCCATAGCTGTCTTCCTGCGTATTTGCCGTTTCAAAATGACACGATTTCCACGTCTATAAGTATCCTATCGACATTTGCGTGTCGTTAGAGTAGCCTTGACTGAATTATGCACCAACTATTTTGTAAGAAAAATGCCGGCCAATTAGGCCTTGGTGCTTGCATAATTCGCAATTTCGTTTATCTGGTCCAGTTTACTCAATTGCGCAGACAAGATAGATCAGCAGTCTAAATTTTGAGCGACTAAATGCGCCCTGTTTTACAACATCCATATTTCGCTTCCCACTCGTTATAAAAATTATATCTGCATTTAATTTATATATAGATATTAGTAATTAGGCTAAATTTGGGATTTTATTGTATTAAGAGGCCTGGAAATCCACTTGCAGACCAATTGTCTGCAAGTACTGAAACTTACTTTACGACCAATGAAAGTTTAAAAAAAAACACGCAATATCCAGTCTTATGTATGCGTATTTTCAACGTGATTCCATAGTTCTTGTGCTTTTTGACTGCAAATCGGATGTTATAAGTCGACCAAATCAGATTAACACATAGTGCACCTTTGGGCTTGTTCTACCTAGACGGCAAGTTCAAAAAACACTCAACTCAGCTGTTTTTTTGAAATGTTCAGCTTCCATTACACGTGAAAATGTTTTCGTGACCCTAAACACCACGCAAGATGTCTGGTGCTCAATTTTGCACACATGCGTTAACAATGGTGAGATGAAACAGTCGGTCGCAGAATGAGTACGACTCAACATAATCGTGATTTTCTGCAACACAAAAAAACTGCTGAACGATGTACGTCGAAACGAAATAATTTGAGGGTTAATGTTGCCTTTTTGCATAACAAATCGTCCAATCTACATCCGTGACTAGATTTCGAGGCTTTCAACTTTTCAGGACTAAAATAATAATGCATGCCGCAGAAATAAACCGTCCCTGTATTGGTTATCATTTGAAGCTATTACACACTTGCGGTGTGTGGTGGTCATCTCTGATGGTTGAGTTGAAAGATCCGATTTTTGCATTTGAACGCGAGTGTTTCCTCAAGTATAGCCCTCTCAGTAAAATAGCCTAGGCTGCAGGAAAAACATGACTAAGAATTCTACTGTGGAACATATATTTCTGGAAGATACGAGTCAAGTGAACATGGAATCGTCTTGTCTAGCTTCTGAGGTGTCAAGAAGAAGTGGTGTCGAGGAAATGGTTCACCCACATGATCAGATCTACTGGGCACAAATTGCCATTTGTTGGTAAGACAAAACTCCTGGATTGGGGTATTCAGTAACCAGGGGACGATGCTCTTCTCTCTGCCTTCAAATGATGGCAGTCGTGCATCCAAGACTAGGCCAACTCTCTTAGTTTGTTTAGTGTCCACACCAAATACCCAGTGGAATCGCAACGTAAGCAGCAGTTTGGAAGTCTGTGTACCGAAACTTGTGATGAGTGTTTAAATATTCAAAGAACTAATCAATAATCAATTAAGATTACAAAACCTAACAAAAATGTCAGCTCCTGACCGCTGATGCATAAATTAAACCTTTAGTGTAGAGACCCTGGGTGTACAGTAACTATCTCTTTTCCACCAAATTGAAAGCTAACTCTTTTATCAAATATTCGGCATAAAACAGTTCCAGATCGAAGCTAAAAATTTCAACAAATCTGCACATGATTTCACGCGAAATGACACGAGCGTGATTTGTGATGCCGCTGTATAGGCGTGATGCGTTTGCAGCCAGCGTGTGATGTGGTGTACGTGACCCGATTGCCTATAGCGTTATTTTTCAATGACATAACCGCGCTAAACGTAAATTAGACAGATTTAGTTTCCCTTCTAACATTATTCATTTTTTTTAATACAGGTATTACTCGGATGCTTGGTTAAACGTGAAAAGTTATCAGGAACCGAAGTAAGTTCCATTATAACAAAATCGTTGCCTTCTTCCTGGGTCCAGCGGGGACCGAATTTAAGAAGCGTAAAATATTTCGTGGCTGTTGTAAGATCGTTTACGTTGATCTGCAGTCGATAACTCAAAAACATAGCCAACAAATCCACGTCAAATTCCAAAAGCCACTTGCAAAACTTGGTACGTGACCAATCAACCCAGCAACCAATCACGTGCCACATGGTCTCGTTGCTGATTGGTTACTGCATTTGGCAGAACGACCTCGAACGTCCAGGCGTATGCGGACGTGCCTATGTGCACACTAATTTAGTCCAAAACACTGTTTTTCGTTCGGGCTAGCTGATAGGAATAACGATCGTGTAAATGGGTTAACAGATTAACTTAAAACCCCGTAGTATTTCCAATGGGGAAATCTGCAAGATAGCCTGATATAACAGACAGAATTCGTGATTTGTCAGTGGTGGATTCTCGACCTGTTCTTTGTAGGCTCACTAATTAAACTGCGAAGGCAAAACAGTCCTTAAACTTGACCCTGCACTTTCAAACACAACATGACGTGGTGATGGGGCTGTTCAAGGTTGCAGAAAAACATCACTCGTCATTTGGCACAGGCAAAATTTAGTTCTAGATAAATAACTGAGCATGTTAAACATAATAAAGTGTATAGTTCCACTTAAATGTGTGGCCGGGGTGTCACTGCCATATCGAAATGTACAAGAGCCAAGGTTAAGTGTTGCATAACGGTTGAACAGGCAAAAGTTCACACTGGAGAATTTGGCTGATTATGGGGCGTTACTAACGCTCGTTACCTGTGCCTCAACAAAATTGACTCATTCGTTTGACCCTGAAGTTTTTTATAATGGAGTATTCTTCGCTATGCGTCAAACTAATTTAAAATATTATGTATTGTCTTATGTACTGATTCTGGGGTAACACAGCAGTTATGACATACATGATGATTTCGATGCAATTTGACTGGTAGATAAATGAATGCCACTACGACTGCATCGTCATTTGATCTAGAAATTTATGCACCAGACTTCAGTTCTGCGACTGATGGAGTTTAAAAAACGACCAGTTTTCTCTGACAAAGACTATTTCCTTGGGCTAATTTGCCTCGGACTTTTATAGACAAACCTGCATGCTCAAATTAATCTAGGTTTCGACAGAGTCCGAGTGGTTCGGTCGAGTTTCCTGCGAACTTTACAACCCGGAGCAGGCTGAAATCATGAAGCCCGCCGAAGACTTAATGAGAGTTCGTGTTGGTGTTGAAGGGCGTTTGAAGTTACCTGAAATCTCAGTAATCAACACGCAGGCGTTGGAATTTCCGGATACTTTCACCTCGCAGTCCTCGATGTTGGACATCAAAATTTCAAATCTCGGTTTGTCGGGAACAGTTTGGGCGGTGCAATTCTCGAATACTCTCATTGGTATGGTTATCTCGTAGTTACTAAACACATTTAATATCACATCACCAATCTTATGGAGATATAATGAACCCTTGTAAGCCTAAATTGCACTTGCGTGTCAATAAGTTCTGGCCATAGTTGCTCGAAAAATGCGAGAGTAGCGCCATGACAGCTAACAAGTAATATTTGGTGCACAATTATTCCATTCTATTGATTTTGGTACAACCTTACTGGTTGACTGAATAGTTGCTATTGGTCTAATCGTCCACGACTCAAAATGACTACCACATCATCTTTTTAGTGAAAGTTTAAATACCTTATCGAAAATGGAGAACTAGTAAAATCGGTCGGAGAAAGTCGTCAGTAAGGTGGTAAACATCAGGCTTTGCATTGTCAACCCTACTTGAAGCCAAAATTTAATGTGGCGTCAACAGGAAACATTCTGTAGGCAATTGAGGTAACCTTAGTTGCTTCAATTTGGCGAAAATATCTCCAGGCAAGGGATTTAAGTAATATTTTTTGCTTCCACCAAGAATCACAATTATTGGCGCCATAAATTTGAATAAGTAAATAAACTCTCGAGCACTGGAATCGCCTTGTCAACAGGTAGTGTCGTGATTGGTTGGAGTGTTTACCATCAGTCATTTTGACTGCAATGGTTTATTACAACAGAAACCTGTTGCATTTTTAAGGACCACACAAAAGCTCCAAAGCAGGCTGCCAAGAGGCGGCGTTTTCAATTAATCCTCGGTCTGGAGTCCTAGCAGCTGCCGGCGACCCGCATCTGAAAGATCGTGCAATAATTACGGTAGAATTCAAGCCCCTGTAAGTACCTTTTTAAGCAGTCAATTGTAGTTATAGTTGCAAACATCGGCATTCCACGCAAATTTAGGTCAAGCTGACAATAGAAGTTAAATACTTGTAGTTAGTGGTTTTAATAACCTACAGGCTGAATTGTATAGCAAAAAATCAAACAAATGACATGCAAGCTATGGCATCAACATGTAACACCGAAGCTGTCAAGCTTCAGACACTAGTAGAAGGCAAACTACTAACCCCATTTGGGGTGTGAAAATTTCTGGGGATGAATGTGACGTAATCTACTAATAATTTTGGCAGTCCAATTAATAGAAAATATCAACTTTATTGACCCCACTGCAATTTTATTTAGAAAAAAACACATATAATGTGTAAAAAATCAATAATAGACAAAAAGGGTACATTTAGCATCCAAAACATATGATTTCCTCTTCTAGCATGTAATATATATATACAACCTCAGTTATTGAGCAAGCATTTCTGAGTGGGTCGTATGTTATACAAGTCCGCGATAATAGATTATGGCGTGGACGAAAAAATAAGTAAACAACGGACATTGCCAACAATGCCTGAATTGTTTATTTAGCCTAGTCTATCGTCCGATTCACGAATTCACTCCAAACACAAGCCAGTTTAGGCATCAGTTGAAACGCAACACTAATTCAATTTAATCTGTTATCGCGACCACACAACTGCACTTGAACTCACCACCCAATCAATAAATCCTAAGGCTTGTGACTGGATCACGGTCATCCTCTAACTGAGTACCTAAACTTGATTGGTTTAAATCTCAGTTTATTTGGGTTACTCACAAATCTTGCGCTCAGGTTAAAAGTTATCAAAGCCTTTTTCAAGCTAAGGGCTTTGTACTATGTAATTGAAAATTCTGCACTTTATTACTTTTTTTTCTAGAAAATCAGGTCTCCACGTGGGAGAACTTAGAATTGTTGACTTCTTGACCAGAAGGTCAGTCGCACTGACTCTGAAAGGGAGGGGCATTGATCAACACCTACCAGAGATCACGCCCTGGTAACAATTCCCACACCTGACAATAACACCGGCTAATGTTCTGGCCTTTGGAAAGTGTCTTAAATAAAGACAGAGGGGTCTGTTTTCGCCCTTTTTACCCTTCAATCACCCGACCTGCCATAACTAGCCGACAGGCAGCATCCCACCAATCTCTGTAATTACACTCGAATGTTGAAATTCGTGATGGCATCGGGTGCTAGGTGTACACATTGCCATCTGGTTTAAACAGGCCGATTCAACAGCAATTGCTCCTCAGTAACTAGAATCCATGTCGAAATCCGACTTAAAAGAGGGGAAACGCAGTGGAAAGTCAAAACGAGGAGTTGGTCTTTCCTGTTATGCTCTCCCGCAGTCCAAACTTTGGAGCCAGAGGCAGTGGGTTATTTATGGAAACGGTAGAGCTTGCATCATCGTTAATGTCCAGTTTCAGCGCGCAGCTGTTCCACGGAGGAGTCGAATTCAAGGGGAACGTAGACTCATCGACATCCACTTTAGCGACTCCTGGTGGCACTGAACTTACAGACCAATAAACCTCAGCACACCATCAAATAGAACTTTTAGTTTTGTAGCTACTCTGATCTACCAACATAAGTTATAGATAGGTATCCACAGCATTTTGAAAACTATAATAAAAATTCAAAACTAGTGGGTTACGTGGGAAAATACATTGGAAAAGTGGTGTCGTTTCAACAACTCATTACAAAAATCAACCTAACTAGACTAATCTAAAGGCTGGACTGGCGTGCGCATGCACGCCGTCGTTTTGTATAAAGAGCTCGTAAAAGTATTCGACCCGCCAAGCAATTAATCGATTCAAAGGCAATGTACATGTTCTCACTCTGTTTGACACAGCATACTGGTTCTTTGGGTGCGATTTGGGGAGCCGCGCCCAGGCCCAATTGACCTACGGGACACCTGTCGTGAATCGCGTTGATGCACCCTCTTGAATCAGACCGCTTTAGTCTCCTACACAATGTCCCCCTTTTCAAAGCATGATTTTCAGCTGCACGGCACCTCAAATCCCCCCGTCCAGGTCTCGATGTGAGCACATCCATGACTCACACATTGAAGTAGCAACACACACTCGCAAACGCCACACACGACACCGACTTGGTTGAGTTCTGAACTAAACGGTTGTGTTCACATCCTCTCCATTGCGGGTAGCAAGGTAGCATAATCCGGCCAGATCCAACTCAGTGACCCCGGCGTGGTTCAAGACCACGTGCTGGGGCCCACAACACACCCCGCGTAAGCAGTCTTCAAGTTACATTTGATTCGAGTTGTGAACATCTAGTGTAGAACTTAACAGCTCCTGTGAGAGCACAGAAACAATTTGGAAATTTATTGCTTAATTGACCTCAGCTACTAACCCAAGCTTGTCAAGATTGGTAGAAAAGGCTTAATAAGATTTAAGGAAATGTGGCGAAGGATCCGGTGCTTACCTAGTCTGTCAGCTCCCACATTAGTCGCAGGCTGATAAAATTAGCAAAAGTTCAGCTCTGGTGCGTATGGCACAGGAAATTTTCAACGCAGTTGCCACCAGGACTCATCGCTCCAAAACTACGCATGTTCCAGAAACAAGCCCATTAAAAATGATGGATTATTATTATACATATTCACCGAAAACGTACAAAAGGCAAAAAATGTAACAAAATGTACACGCAAGTTTGCAAAAGCTGCCTAGATTGTCTCGACGGAAGCCAGTCTGCCAGTCCAAACACTCTCGGGGTTATTGATCTTGACGAAACAATGATCGGCAGTGCCTGGACAGCCAGGGTAACGACGCAGCCGCGCATGAGTGAGCAGTGTCTTAGGCACGCATGCGCATCGTACTGTCGCCTTCTCTGGTTCTAGCAGCTGACGCGGGTACAAAGTGTCCGAGGCTTGATCGCTATTTATGGAGGAAACAAGAAGCTTGTCAGGGCAGTTAGTAAGCAAACTAAATAGTGTGATTTAAACACGTCTTCGGTATTAGACCCAATCTGGTAAATCTGCTTCAATGACCCGATTTGGAACAATTCTCGGTGACCACAAACGGTAGTTACAAATATGCCAGATTCTGGGGTTAAATTGTTCCACGTCAAGTCAGGCTGCTTCAGGAAGGACTAGTATTACGTGCCATCACCCAACGATGAGCTTTATAATAAGCGTCAGAGCTGAGGCAATAAAGTGTAACAGGAGAAGGATATACCGAAGCGTTCATGTCACTAGTATTGTTGTTTGGCACCGTTTTAACCGAAAGTGAAACTAAAATCTTATCGAATGCCATCTACAGGTTTCCACTGTGAAATATAGCAAATTGTGTGTTCTTGATATTCCTGATAACTTGCCTGCCATAGGGATTGCAAGCCAGCCGAAGCAATTTCCCATCAAAGAAGGAACTACAAGCGGGGAGAAGCTCATCAAAATCAACATATTCGGGAGGCTGTTTGTTCCAGACGTCAAGAAGCTCGAGGAGCAGGTCTGAGGCATCTCCCATTGGCGAATAGTACACGCCGGGGATGTAGCCTACACAGGAATACTTCCGTGCATACAGTTTCAACCAATCACCGAGTTCGTAGATCTGGGAGGAGGTCAGACCATCAAGTGCGTAACCTTCAGAAGGCGAGTCTTCCATGCCCTCAGACACAATTAGACGAGTTGCGTCGCGACCTGAGAACCAAAGACAACCCACATCGGCTGAAACTAGCATTCAAAGAGCAAAAGCAGGAGTAAAAGTGTGTCAACACGGTGTTTACCAGTGAGAAAGGCGTAAACCCCATTTGGACCATAGGCCTCCACATTGGGACTGACGTCGAAGACATGTCCCAGGACAACGAGGTGTTTGTGCTCTATCAGGCGCTCCAGAGCTATGGGGTTTCGAAGGCAACTTGGAAGGGTGAACGGTTTGGTGGTTTCTGGGCTTGAATTAGCTTCCATGACTTTTAAATTGAAGAGTCTAAGAAACGGATGCATTATGCGGGTGTTGGCGGCGATTAGAGCGTTCATCCAATCAAGAAGAGTGGGCCGGAATGTTTCCCACATCCGATGGAGTTCACTCGAGCATTCAGGCCACAGATGTGGAAGAAGAGCCGAAAGTAGGACAATGAGAACACCAAGTTTCCACATCTTAAAGATACATTCAAGTAGGAAACATCATTGACGCACACTGCATCAAACAAAAACGTGATAAAAGTCTATATTAATTCAGAGGGAAATTTTTCCGCTCAATTTTTCCTAGGTACGCCTGTAACTTGCACAATAAAAGCGATTAAGCGCTACCAATATACATGGCAGAATCGGTAGTGGAGAGTACGCTGATTGGTTAAATCTTGCATTACATAGCAAAGAAGCTTCCCCAAAGTGAGATCTAATATGGTGACGGAATAAAAGTGGAAACTAGTCCACAAATTGAGCCTGCTTTAGTGACAACAAATGCTTGATTGAAGAGCACACGTGCTTCACAAGTAAAGCGTTTCTGAAAACTTGACTGTGATTGGCTGATTTAAAAGCAGAGCAGTGCCCCTGAACCGCCACTCCGTTAACAATTAACACCAAGACACAAAGAAGACACGCAGTAATATGGCTTAACAGAGAGACTGCCATAAATTTATTTGACATGATTATATGGAGAAGTAAATGTGTTGGGTATTTTTGTAGAAATAAATGTGATGCAGAGAATAAAAGGAGTCAAATTTTTGGATGTCACAGCATTTGTCTACAATTACGGGGTGAGAAGAAGGACAGAGAAGTCCACTAAGCCTGCGGACTATGATTCAGTGAACATGATTAGTAGGCGTGGTTTGCGACGAAGAGTGACTTCTGGCCAGCGGCGGTTTTCAGATCGTCTTTGAAGGCGCCAAGGCTGGCCTCACCATTGGCCTTAGCCAACTGAAGGAACTGGTCTTGGCCAATCTTCACCTGATCCGGCTTGCCCTGCCATGCAGCAATCGCCGAGGCCTGGAGGGCACGGCCAAAGCTGAAAGTGAGCTTCCACGGCTTCTTGCCAGGGAACTTGTTGATGGCATTTAGGTTCCTCGTGGCATCAAGTTCTGGCTGACCGCCGGACAAGAAAACAATGCCTGCAATGCAAAAACAAACTCTTTAACACTAGATTGATCCTAATGTCGATGGGGAACCCAAGTTGACAAGAGGCACACGGAAGCCACAGAAGTGCTAACGTGAGCAATCACTAACCAGGAACTGCGGCAGGCACAGTGCGCTGTAGAGCCTCAACGGTAGCCCGAGCATTTTGCTCAACAGTGTACTTTTTGGGGCAGCTGTGACCACAGGTGACCATATTGGGCTTGAGGAGAGTGCCTTCAAGGTAGACGTGGTGATCTGCGAGAGCCTTGTACACGAAAGCAAGCACTTGCTCAGTGACGCACTGAGCGGTCTCAAGATCATGGTCGCCATCAGGAAGGACCTCAGGTTCCACAATCGGTACAAGGCCATTCTATGACACAAAAACATAATTTTTGGGTAAAAAAGTACCAGAAAGTGGAAGTAAAATAGGTGTTGTGTAGCATACCTGCTGGCAAATGGAAGCATAGCGAGCTAGCACGTTGGCGTTTTCGAGCATAGCGAGATAAGAAGGGTTGTGTGAGGAGATTTTGAGGACACAGCGCCACTTGGCAAAGCGACAGCCATCCTTGTAGTATTGAGCACAACGCTGAGCAAGATTGTCTAGGCCCTGAGTGGTGCACTCATCAGCTGTGCCGCCGAGAGGAACGACACCCAAGTCAACCTTGATGCCGGGAATCACACCGCGCTCACGAAGGACTTCAATAAAAGGCTTGCCGTCCTTAGTCTTTTGGTAAACCGTCTCGTGAAAGAGGATGACACCAGATATATACTTGGCAAATTCTGGATCAGTCGTGAAAAGGAGTTCACGGTATGCGCGACGGTTCTCCTCGGTATTTTCAAGCTTTATATCCGCAAAACGTTTACCCATTGTGCCAACACTTTCATCTGCGGCCAATATACCCTTACCAGGAGCGACAATGGCATTTGCGGTGTCGGCCAACTCCTTCAGTTTTTAGGGAGGCAAATAAGGAGGAAAACGAGCCATCTCACTGTATTAAAAATAAGAGATACATAATTAGCCATGAAACACTGAGTTATGTCGAAGGCACGTAGCTTCTTGGATCAATATCATGTTACTGACTTCAAAACAATTAAAAGTAAGTCCTAACTATAGTGCAGTCGGCAGTCCTACCATTTCATTGGGAATTATCATATACGACAAAAGATTGATTAGCTAGAAAGCGCTTAGCAAAAGATACAAATTAACTGATCCATTACATGTTAACAGGCTAATTTTCGCACAATCTAGCATTACAATAGGTTGAGGACCGAGCGGTATTAGGATATTAACGTTAAAAGACTGTTAAAACACATAAAATTTAAAGATTTTTTCCTTATGTTGTACATAAACTGAGAAGTAAAATAGAGTTCTGTGGAAGAGGACGAATAGTTAGGAACGGATGGATTACGAAGGAACTTAAGTCAGGAATAAAATCTTCGTAAATGGCTAAGGAGGACTGGAAAAAGCATTTAAAAATAAATAAGACATTAAGCCAATAAATTACTGTTTTGCTAAAAACAACAACACAAAAGACCCGAAACACCAACCTATTCGCAACAAACCAGCCAATACTGACTTGGACCACAGTACCGACCTTTTTATATCCTACGTGAGTCGACTTTAACAAATCGGCTAAACAATTTGTAACCTAATTATTTCTGACTCTTGTAAGTTTTTAACCAGGTAAATTTCCTAGTATCTAAGACATTTATTTTATGGCAACAATATAAACAGGTATTAATAAAAAAATGCTGTTCTACAAATAATGTCCTAAAAAATAAAAAATTTGATATAATTTTGCGCATAAATTCCATCGTTCAAAATCAAAATTAAGAGAACAGAAAGTACTTTAATGCCCAAATTTGTTGCAAACAATTCAACTATTTCTCATTTCTACCTGTCCCAAAACACTCTAATTCTTTTGCTTTTCTGCATATATTAACTTAGAAAAGGTAGGTATAATAAAACTTTTTTTGTAATAAGGTGTCATAATGGGTCAACCACAATCAAATTTTCGTGGTAAGAATTTTGACATAGCAAAAGTATTAAAGACTGTTTGACTCTAAACACAACGCCTAAAAATACTCCAATAGTTGATAAGTAACAACTTTATTGCGATGAAAACTCTCATACAGCACTTAAAGATCATAACAAATCGAATTAAATGACAAAACCAGAAAGTTAATGTACCGAACAAAGATGCTGTCAGTTGTCTAGCTATAAAATAATGAGAACAATAGTTTTTTATGCCTAACGTTTCTATTTATTGTTACTCATGTTGTCAAATATATGTGATCTGTGACTGTGAAAAGAAGGCATAAACGGACCTAACAGAGCATACAAACGCAACCTGTCTTCTTTATTTCAAACAGGTAAACAAGAGTGTTTTAATATAGCAAAAGATAAAATGCATTATATGAAACCGAAGCAGCAAATTGCTACTTTTCCGTCGAATTGGGAAACTCAAAGTCAAAAGGAGATTAACAAAAATACGACAAAATTATCTTCGGTATTTTAAGTTTGTTTGAGGAGACCATGTTGGATTTCTAAAAAATTCTTGATGTCTCTATAAGAATAAGGATGAATAATTCGATGGTAAAATAACAAAAAAATAATAAATACTCTAATTTCGTATTTGGAAACAAATCCTTTGGAATTTTCAAAACCATATGGGACGCAGTTGGCACCTAACTTATCTCGTGCCAAACAAAGCAAAATCAATAAAAACAGTACGTACCTTGGTAGAAATTGATTCAAAATAAATGTTCCTCATGAAAATCCTTTGTACTTTTGATCATAGAAACAACTTGCAATGCCTATTTTAGAATTCGTCAAACATTTAATTTTTTTGAGAAAAAAAAAATTAATACAGAGTTGGTAAAAACGAATCTTACAAAAATATTGCACATACTTTAAAATTGCTTGTTGTTCCATAGTCTTTAGTTCAGAATTACCACGTTAAATTTCCTTATTTATTTATCTTTGCAACCCGATTTACTTCCGCTAGGTATTAAACGAATTCATCTTCGGTAACATTTTAAATATACTTTTTTTTATACAATATCCTGTTTCCTTCGCAACGTCTCACTGACCCATGGAAAGGATTTGTCTGTGCATGCTTCCTTTAGCAATACAAGGATGAACATCCTCATAATTTTCAACGATATTTGTTATGCTAAGAACTTACATGATAGGACTTGTTATTTGCACATTTGTGCAACCAATCGCATTTTGCCAAACCTGATTAACATATTAAGAACAAGTAATTTATTTTATTTGTGTTGGTTACTGCATTTTAATTTCATAACAGAATACGACCAAAACACATGATGCAAAAGTCGAGTATTTTGTAGCACACGGGGTTTCTACTACGTCAGGCTTAATTTGTACAGATTTTCAATAAATTTAATTAATTTAAAAAAGACATACATTGGATATATAGTTCGTTGTCTTCAATGATCTCGCACGTACGAATGCCGTCGCGAAAGAAATTTGCCGCTTTCAACGCAATAAAACTATTTATCCACAGAGGGGTGCTACTGCATTGACCGGAACAAATGGAAGTCTGATGTAGCCTAGTCTAATGTATATGCTGCGGGTTTGAGAGAGTCTTCAAAGCCACGCGAGGTACTTGAGGTCGTGCGTTGTCGTGATGCAGAAGTATAATTTACCTATTTTTTTGTCGAGTAAACGACTTTTACCAATCATACTCTTCACTGGTTTTATTCAGTTGTAGGCTATAGTGAAAGACAGTCACCGTCTGTCCAGATTGCAGCAATTCGTAATAAGTTGAGCCCTCCATGTTCAATTCTACTTTCATGAATTTGTAGGTTTTGAATTCTAGTACAAAGTACCCATCTCACCATTAGTAAAAGGCATGTGTTTATTTGCTGAACTAGATTTCGTTCGGTCATTAATGGCGGGTACTCAAATTCTACGTTGTTGAGATTTTCTCATTTGGTGCAAATGCTTGGCGAAAGCACAGGTTAAGTGAGTTGCAAGCTCTTTTACTGTTTGCGTTGACTCTTTATCCAGCATTGCTTGCAATTCCGCAACCTCATATTTTCGAGTCTGTCCCTGTCACAGCCGGTAATTATGATGAAAATTACTAATTTTAAAAAGTATCAACCAATAATTACACATTTTCAAGGCAACAAAATCAGCAACAGCAGTACAACAAGTTGATTTCCCTGTTTTAGACGCATTGTTGCACGTTGGAATTCGGATAAACTTTCGCTATCGAACGAGCTATTTATCAATGGCCACCATACTTTGATATTCGAAGAGCTTATGTAACTCACGTGCACGTGTCTTTTGACGTCGGATCCTTTTAAAAGCGTGAAAGTCGGTGAAATTACCTATACTTTAGATTTAATTTTACGCTTGCAGTACGCATCAGTAAAAATTAATCAAACACATTTTAACGAGGTGCATGACCTCATGACTGTTCTCTTGGGTTCTAATCACACCATTGTAAGATTTGGTGGTGGTTTCTGGT